CGCATTTTTCATGCCTCGAAAGAGCGACTTAGGATATGTATTAGATTTATATATAGCATTATTCTGATATAGATATTTCGATACAAAATCGGCAGACTTTTTCTGAAATGACATGCCAACTTTTTTCCATATTACAATTCTATGACTCAAATTATGCCTAAATAATAAGTTTTGTTAAATTTGGTGCGCAACTTACGGAGAAATTGAAAAATTTATCAGTTTGTGCCAAGAATAATTCACATTGCAAAATTCTTAATTTATGGCAACCTACCTACTTTCTTTTTTGATTAATGCACCAAGGGAAAAAGGTCCATCATTCATTCTTTCAAATGATTTTAACAAAGTGCGTAAAACACATTTTCGTTATTACTGCTTATAAGTATACCAAATACCAAAATGCGCCAGTATGTCAATTCATGCATATCTTAGAAAAATTTTTAAAAAGTTTAATCCTAGAAATGCATCTACTTTAAGATGATGTTAAAAATTTTATAGGTTTATAGGTATACAAAAAGTTTTTCGAAAAATTTATAAAAAATACAAATTTTACAAATAAATCATAAAAAATGTGGGAATTATATTTCGAGTTCTGGAAGTAAGTTATTTAAAAAAAGGAGATATTAATAAATATACATCAAATTCAATTAACATTGAGGAGCTAAAATTTTGAGAGCTAATTTTTTAAAAACTACTTGTGCGATTTTTGCAAAACTTGACAGTATGGCATAATTTGAGTTGTAGAATCAAAATATGGGGGGAAGAAATGACATATCATTTCAGGAAAAGTCCGATTTTGTGTCAAAATACCTATATTAGAACAATGCTATATATAAATCTAATACATATCCTAAATAGCGCTTTTGAGACACGATTTGAATTTCGTCAATTGGTCCAGTAGAACTGTCCCAGTTTTTCTTTTGAGCAGTGTACATACAAGTCTACCAAAAATATTATGAATATGTAAATATTAATTACTAAACAAATAATTTATTTACATATTTTAAACATTTTTAAGCAACTTCTTTATAATAAATATGTGCACACTAAAAGTATCATGTTATGCCTGAATGTATAAAATTTCACTGACGCTTATGTTTCTATTATATTGGTTGACATGCATATGACCTTACATGATACATTTGAAGTTAATTCACAAATTTAAGTTACATGAATTGTTTCCATAAGGAAATTTTAAAAATATCAAATACTTATGAAAATTAAAATATTCAATAATATGAAGTTTATCTACACTTTTAACACAAATTTTTATTATATACTTCAAAATAATTATTTCGATAGGAACAGTACCTGCGTTTTTCAGTAATACAAATACTGAAGAACACAATTTGATTATAATGTAATCAAATGCTATTTGGCAAAATGTGCAAAAAGTAAAAAAATATATAGAATGTCATAAAATAAGTTATAATAAATTTGCACTTCATTATTTTAGTTAATATTCCACATAGTTACAAGCTGGCAAAATTGCTGCAAATTATCAAATACAAAATAAATTATTTCAAAACATCAACTGTACTTCTGCTACATACATACATAATGCTAATATACTAGAAGATTATGATGTATAAAACAAAAGAATAATATACAAAATAACACTTTGCACACCATTTAAAAATGACTATTTAATAATCTAATAAATAATTATTATATGCACATTTCAAGCATCTTAACAACTTACAATACTCCTCTGTTAAAAAGTTCAAGGAAAATGCTTGCAGAATAATTCTATTTAGCGTCAAAATTTTATTTTTTGTCACCTTCAAAGTCACATCCGTCCAACTCCAGCACATATGACATTCCTGCAGTCATCAGTAGAACATGTCTTTTTTGTATCAGCACATTATTTTGGATAACCTTGAAATAGTCTATAAAAATTGACTTTCATAAAATTACCTTGAAAACCTAGAACAGTGGGGTCAGGAGATGATAAATCTGGAAAATAATACGACTGTGGCATGAAAGGAATTAGTTTCTGATTAAAAATAGATTTATTTGTTTGAATGTTCTTTGATGTATCAGAGGATGACACTATTCATTTTTTCTATAAAAACTGTGCCAATGCTTTCTAATAGCCAAATTCAATTGTTGCAAGTTTCAACCATGGAAAATGAAATTTCAGTGAACTTTTAAACAAATGAGTATATTTAATTGTTATCAGTATAATATAAAATACATTGTAATTATTCAAAAATTTTTACAAAATACATGGGGGTGGTAAAAGTGTACATAGTTAATGAAAACAATATTTTAAATCTTTCTAATAAATAAATACACATGGATTCAATTAAAGAAAATACACATGGATTCAATTAAAGAAAATACACATGGATTCAATTAAATCTAAATACACATGGATTCAATTAAAGAACATATTTAATCATTTGCTTTTAGCCCTAGCATAAGATATTATTTTGGCAGATCATATTTTACTTAAAATATTATAACCCACATAATTTAATACATGTAAAAATTCTACTATTTTGTAGGCATAATATGAAGAGAACACATAAGAAAATAAAATATATACTATTACAAAATAAATTTAGATTATGCATTCGAGAGAAGGAATAGAAGAAATGTTCCACGTTTCCCATTCCTGGCCTATAACATTGTCTATGTTACACTGCTAGAATTCTTTTAATATTTTACTCCTAATTCAGTTATTTGCTTATTTGGTCATTATATAGGGATACACAAACAGCTGATTATTCTTCAGAGGTTATAATTAAAATCACAGTTCACACAAAAGTGAATGTTAAAAGGGGTTTTGCACTGCTACAGTTTAGATTTTTATATAGTGAATATAACCTAAAAAGAATATTAAGGAAATTTAGATAACTGAAGCAGCACAATTCAAATCATTTGAAATTTATTTAGCATATATATAAGTATTAAATATATTTCAAATACAAATATAGGTATTTTTTAAAGACTTGATATCAAATAGCCTCTCCCCTCCCTAAAGAAAATCAGATTTTACTGAGTAGAAAATGCTTAGGAAGGGGGTGGGAAACTTCAATGCATTAGTTGATAAATGAGATACAAATAACACTATATTTTATCTACCATATGTACATAATTTGCTATTAAAATGGCAATATTTATGAGTGCATGGTTTAACCAAGATAATGGAATTTAATTTACTGATTGTCTTCAGTCAAAGCTTTTAAAGATCTATATGAATTAAAAAAAGATTGCTTACAAAAATATATTTTTCATAATTATACTATGCTTTAAATCTGTGTACAAAATTTAAGAATGTTATTGGATTGTTAATATAATTACGCTCCTTATAATTTCTATTTATACCAGCTAAAAACATTAAAAAAGTATTCACTCTTAACACTGCAGAGATAAGCATGTAGAAATACTTTCTTGATACCAAAAAGATGAAGAACAGCTTAATTTCAGAGAAGATACAATCACATCATTTGAAACTTTTCAGCAGTTTTTCAACAAAACGTTTTGTTAAAAAACAAAATATTGCTTAAAAGATTAGCTGCATAAAAATGTCATAATTTAATATTTTAGGAAAACTGAGCACGATCATTATTATATCAAATTAATACATAATCATTAATGAAACAATAATGCAACACTTACAAATATGACCAATAAAGTAACAGAAAGCTTTCTTGTATATACTTACATTCTTGGATTATTCTACAAATCATGGCAAAACCCACTTGATCTTTCATTTTTTAACCAATAGAATTTAACATATTTGTTCTAAAACATATTTCTGCTGAAAAGTCATTATTGTTATTAATTACAAAATATATTCAATACAGATTTTAAATGATGAATTAGTTAAATAGAATTGCTACACATCTCAGTGAAATTATCTGCATTTAGTGTTTAAATGCTCTAAATTACGATGACATTAACTAGCTATGTAAATACATTTTTAAAACCTAATTTATAACTCAAAATTGCATTTTTGGATGCTATTTTAAATGGATGGAATGTTCCATATTCAAGTTTTTGCCATTCTTGAATAATTTTGAGAATTAAAATATGTGCTATATTTTGCCATCATATAAGTGTGCATCATATAATCATATAAGAATTTGTATAATAGTTACAGAAAGTGATTATTCAAAGTTTTAAAAAAGTGACTTTAGTGTGACTGTAACTAAATCAATTATCAGGCCTTGTTTACTTCTAAATTTTTAAATTGGACAATATAGTTTCAGAAAACACTTGAAAAATAGCTTTTGCATTCAAATATAGTACATGAGCAAGCTTTCTAAATGAAAGTAGCTCCAGAATTTGCACCTGGAGATAAGACTTATAGAAGTTATCTCAATTCCAGCACATTTTCAGGTGTCAATTATGTCCATTTGCACTGCATTAAATTCAAGTCAAACTTGCACTGCACTTTAAATGTAAGTAATAAAACCATCAACATTTTATCAGTTTGGAAATTTATGGGAGGAGCCAGTCCAGTCCTCAGAAATTCAGCTTAAACAAGCAAAGCTCATGCAGCTAACTTCTTGCTCAATTTTCTAGTCGCATCAAAGAACTAAACTACTGCTATGTGGTGAAAATTAGATACAATATATGGCAAGTCTTTCCAAAGATTTTCAGCCATCAATGATAAATGTGGTGGATTACTAACAGGAATGTTTATTTTAAACTCCTGAATCATGCTATCTGCAATCTACTCAGCCCAGATGCAATAAATTTCAGCTGCACCTTATCCAAAAGCAGTTAGTACAGGTTAACAGAAAAGATATTCTCTTCCACCAAGAAAATACCAAAACCACACACAGTAAGAACATACATGGAAATGATTATTATACTCGATGGGGAACTTGTATAAATTTAGAAATCTGCTTTTCAATAATCAACTGTTATTGGTAATAAACTACTATTTAGAAAATTGGTAATTGTGAAATCACTTACCTATTCTGATGCCATGAAAAATGTTAGACCACAAATAAAAGATAATAAAAAAAAAAGCTGAAGATTACTAGTTTTCTGAATCAAATATTGTTTTATTCACTTTGCATTTTATCGCTACAATGAATTAATACAACATACCCTTTCTATGCTACCTGATATATGCAGCATTATACTTCTTTAAATGAAAAATAATTTAAATGAAAAATAATAATTTTTTTTAATGAAAAATAAATTAGTTTTAGCAATAATGTTTAGAATTCCTGGAAAAATAAGAGCAAGTAATAGAAAAATATTTAAAATGATATCTTAAAATGTACAAATATCTGTCATAAGAACAATATAATGTAATATTTTTAATCTTTTTTTAAAGAAAATGCAGTAAATTATTAATCAAATTTTTTTTCCCATTTTACATAGGAAAAAAGCACATATTCCATTTCAATTCTTGCACGAAAGAATCTCTATTAAACCAATCTCTTGTTTCTATTCCATCTTTTTGATCCACAATTACAGTTATTTAAATAAAGAACAGAAATTTATGGGTCAAATTCTGTTTAAATAATAATTTAGCAACTGTTTCTACACCAAATCTTCTAGACATATATACATATATATGCAAGAGTGCAAGATATAAACTGCAGAAAAAATATACATGCACATAGCACTGAATAACAAACTTCCCATACAAAATAAACCTCACATAAGCACTCATATATAATCACTGGATATAAATTAAAAAATGACTATCTGTCGATTTTTTTTTTCAAAAATATACATTATACAGACAAAATGTTTTTGTCACTCTCGACCTGCAAGAGTAAATGCTCATAAAATAATCCGGGAAAAAAAAAAAAAAAAAAAAAAAAAGGAGGATTGGCAGGTTTATAGTAAACGTCATGTCAATATACTTATATCATCAGAAACAAAAAGTTTGATCAAAATGCCTTTTGAATTTTCCATTTTTGAATTATTTCTTTACATCATTGTTAGATACATTAGACACAGCAACTAGGTACAAAAAGCAAAAAACATCAGCAAATGCTAAATTCTAATATATGCAATTAAAGTAGCCAATACCTGAATTAAAGTACAATATACATGTAAGTAATATTACATTTCAAGTATCTACCTATGTGTAAATAATAAAAGTGATCACTTTAAATTATATCATCTTGCTTTCAAAATCCATTAAGATAATTTTCTTATTCAGTTTTGCAAATAAATGATAGAAAATTGCTCTATGCAATTAATCAATATTTCTACTTTGTCAAACAAAACGAAAAAAAAAAAAAAGCAGCTATACAGCTGACAAAAAGTACATTTTAAATAATACAATGTTGACATAAGAACACAGTGTTATGAAATATTTCTTTGTAAAAACTTCCATCAGACAAACATGTTGAGTGTAAACTGTACAAAAATGTCATTCCAAAAGCTTTGGTAAAAATTGTCAAACTGGAGTGTTTCATTAAATATTTTGTACATAGTGGCAAGAATCATATGGACCTGCTGTGAAAATATATTTCTAAATTGAAATTTACACTTTTTAGGGACGCATGCAGCAATGTAATCTAAAGCTTGCCAGTGTGATGTTTGTATGCTCATAATTCACACACAGACTTTTTTTACACTAACAATATCATTGCCTTCTGTATAAAGCATGTCAGTTCTTGGACTTCATGTGGAAAGGAATATTCTTATCTTCTGTTTATCTCCATTTTCACAGCTGAAACATTAACATAATTAAAGTTATAGAATTTAAGCAAGGTAAAATGATTTTAAAAAGCAATTAGTCATGTGTGAAAAGATTATTGTATGGATAAACTTAGTAATGTACCATTTATTGATGTAAAATAGTATACAATATTAATTCATTAAACACTGGTTTAAGCTCTATAAAAAGTCCTACCAATTATATAACAGATGAAGAAAATTCAGAATGAATAAAATTTAATATGAAAAATTATGCTGAAAATTGCTAAAGGTAGGGAGGGAAATGGAACTTGTGCAGTATAAATTTTATTAATTCAATGAATTTCATTTAATGCTAGGAAACATTTTTAGTAAAGACTTAAAAATAAAAATCAGGTGATTTGGTGATCTCGTAAAAATTCTTTCATATTCTGCACTGCTATGGGGAATTATCCAATATTATTTTAGAAAGTTCATTATACTTTAAAATTCCACCAGAATTTTTTAGTTTTTGATTTAGTCTCCTCAGAGTATCAGTTCTTGTTGAATTTGTAACTTTATCCAAGTTTCCTAGTTGTAAATTACAATATTATTATTGTAAAATTACTGTAGCCCCAAATAAAATTTTTTTCCCCTTTAATTTTATTCTAATTCACATGACATACAGAAGACAAAACAATGGTTGGTTTCACAAACTTTGATAAAATGTCTTTAAATACATCAGTAATAATTAAATGCAACACATAACTTACAGAATTCTTTACTGCAGAACTGCATTAAGAACGTTGAAAAAATTCATAACATGGAACTATAAAAAGCATAACAGAACTTAACAAAAATCTCTGAACACAAAAAACGTAAATAATTAAATTTTGCAAGATAAGGTATCTGGGAAATATTTCCCTTGAACCACAATTTTTTATTTTATTTTTAGAAACCTCTGCATAAACTTTCTGTTTATTTTTTGTTGTATTTTTCTGAGCACTGCCAAATGATTTGCTCACTAGAGAAGTAGTTTTTATTTTTTTCATACTTCTTTTTAACAAAGGAAATAATAGCCATATCTTTATTTACTTTATCTTGCATCATCTTAACTCTAGACACATTTATTTTTTTCTTTAAAAGCTTTAAGAAATGGATTCCACTGGTCAAGGATTCCAGATAAAATATTTCATTAAAGATAACCAGCATGTAATACATATACCAAAAATATTTCTTATTTCAGAATTATGCAGCTGTTTCAATTATTATTTTTTTTTTAGGCCTCATTTTTTAAGACACAGTAACCCCTCTTAACATGAACTCGTTTAATGTGGATACTCAGCTAACGTGAACTAAATTTAGATCCTGGCAGCAATGTATACGATCTTGTAGGAAGTTTTATCGGTTAACACAAATTATGAACTGTTTTTAGCCCATTGCTTCATTAATTTTATTTTTCATTTAAAATGAACTTTCAAAGTATTTTTTCCCCGCTGTTTCTTTGCTAGGGCTGCATTCAGAATGGCTTTATTACATTTAATTGAAAAATCTCACAGAATACACTGCATTGTTTAAAACACAGCCAGCAGGAGTAACACTGCTCGAAAATTCCGATCATCACATCAACAATGAGCTTCAGTCAACAAATGAAACTCTGAATCAGATGCGTTTTTTTTTTTTTTTTTTTTTTTTTTAAATTTTTTAAAAGTTATCTAGTATGACTAATGCTAGATCTTGAATAATTCTGAATTAAGATGTCGCAAACAGTTACGTTTGTGCTCCAATGAAATCAGTTGTGTATGAGATGCAAAAATATCATCAGAAGAAAGTGAAGAAGATAATATCATTCTGCACACAACAGGAAGTTTTACATGTCTTGAACACTTTAGAATGTTTAGCTGTAACATCCGAAATGACCATTAGTTTTACAGAAGGCATGAATACAGTTTGCTGCGAAGTTACTAAAGACTTTTGATCCCATCGGCGACAGCACAATATACAGAAATTTTCCGCCAGAAACTGATCAGCGGGTACAATTTTTCATGTTGCACTCTAGTAATCAGTGTAGAAATGCAGCATTTTCTATGACGACATAGATAATACTCGTATATTGTTGTAGTTATATATGTACCTATACACTGTAAATGGTTAATGTATAGAGAAAAATATATATATATATTAAAAAAAAATAGAATCTGAACCCCGAGTTAACATGAACTCTTGATTTTTCATTCCCTTAGGATTTATGTTAACGAGGGCTTACTGTAGTAATAAACATCAATGACAAATTCATCTACATCTCGTTCAGATGCTAATGAGTTTTCTCTTTCCAAGAAGCTTACAATACCAGTTAATTAGTGGTACATTGTCTGTACCATAAGTTATCCATAAGAATTCCATTTCCTTTCAGGATGCCACTTAATGTGATCATGGTTAATGTTATCATTCAGATGCTGTTATTGAATTGCCAAAGTCCTGCATATTTGTACATAGAAATGCGGAATATATACTGCTTATTATGATCAACAATTCTTTTTTTTTTTCCCCTGTGATTACAGCCTATCTGCTACTTTCAAATTGTGCATTGGCCACTGAGCAATGTAAGTTTGAGACCACTGCTGTAAAGTATTGTTTATGTAATATGTCTTCTTGCACTGTAACAAAGTACCATAAATTTCATGGAAATGAGAAAGATAGTGATATTTTATTTAATATTTTTCCAAAGGACAATTCGCTTCTGATGAGAAAAAGGGATACACGTGTTGAAGACAGGATTCTATTAACATGAAGAATTTAAGACTTTGCAGCAAACATTTTCTACATAGTGATTGTGAAGATGACATGAAAAATTGCTTGCTTGGATTGTCTCAGAAGAAACTGTTGAAATCCAATACTGTGCCAAGAAAAGAAAAATTATGCATAGTGCTTTTGAAAGACTACACGAATTAAATTTGAAGAAAATTCATTTTGAGGCTGATTACATAAAAGACGATAGGAATAATAAATCAAATATGAATAATTAAAAAATTTTGAGAAATGGCGATGTAAATATTGCTGAATGCCCTAACCATAAAAATAAACAAAAATGTGTTGATCATTTGTAAAAAACAAAAGCTAGCTCAGCATTTTAGCTCATTTATAATCACAGAAAATGTCAAAGTAATTTTGCATAAAAAATCGTCCTCCTTTGCCCCTCAAGATAAGCAATTCTCTTTACGTACTGTTTGTCAAACTTAAGATAAAGATCTTGTATTTATTTAAATGTAATGTAATGCATATGTATAAATGTCCGTTAGACAATTATTTTTACAATATTATATGTTATTATATCTAATTGGAAGAGAAACATGCCAGTGCCAAATTTATAATTAAGTTAAAAAAGCAATCTTAGATTAGATTCAATTTTGAATAAAACTATTGATTTCACGGGCAGTCAAACATAAATTCTTCTTCTTTAGCTGCAGGGGGAGGAAAAAAAAAAAAAAAAAAAAAAAAAAACTATGCCAATTTTTTTTTTTTTTGTGTTTGTTTTTTGCCTAACTTTAAAAAAGCTGCTATTATAGTTATCTTAGAAAGAGTAATAGAATTCTTGCACTTAGTACACAGATGAAGAAAAGATAATAAATGTCATAGTTTTTTTTTCATGATTTAATAATAAATGCACAGGGGGGAAAATCTACACCTTTTAAGACAATGTAACATATTTTATCTATTACTTTTTAATTAATAAATGTTATTAACTTTCTACATGTTATAAATACTTATGATAATGACATTTTCTCTTCTAAATTAAAATTGTTTTTTCATGCACAGTTTTTGTAAGGTTACCCCACAAATTTAAAACGTTTATTTCCTTTGCTGCAAATTGTGTAATTGAAGTCAGTGTCATCATGAATATACATCACTCCTCACTTCCTGTTTCATGGTGGAAAGCTCTATGAACCAGCCCTTCTCTTCCAAGCCCTGATTTAGTATTATTAAAATAGCTGTTGACAAACATAATATTAAGCGGTACTTGCTGTAATTAGCTTTGGTATATTAAAGCTTTTTGAATCTCCTTTTGACGTGTGGATTACAAAGTAAGCTAATCAATTTCTAAATCTACATGAGTTAAAAAAAAAGGGGGGGACAATAATTGGATAATTTTGCATCAGCATTATTGTTTCCATCCATAAAAAGGCAGAAAAGAGTATATTTAGTATATTTAACTCAATTAACAAATAGAATATTTATTTTTCCTGCCCATTTCCAACACCTGCAATAATTTTTGCCCCAGGGCATGAGTGTTTTTCAACAATTTTGTCACAGGGAAACATTTTTCTAAATAAAACCACAGCATGATCAGAGGCATTCAGCAGATTATGCTCAAGTAAAAAGGCAGAAAATAGCCATTCTGCATAATAACTTTGTGATTCATCGTTTCAACAGAAGTAGTTCTCATTTCTTTTTCAATACAACTTATATTGTCTTTGTGCTTTTTTATGTGAGCACATTATATGACATTTTTACTCATTACAAATGCATATTTTCTTGATGAAATAACATATAATAACGAAATAATATGTACATATTTCTTTAAAAGTATCAGTAATTAACTTTTTCACAGACATAACTAAAATAAAAGATTGGACATCCTTAAAAAATTTCAATAAGCATGTGAAACTCATATTGTTTTGCGATGCCAAGAAGGCACAGAAATGCCTCAATCTAACTTTATACTCAATAGCTCTTGTGCGCTGGATGACTGGAACTGCAGTTGATGTCCATTGAATAATTCGATCATAATATTTTTAGTCACATATACTTCTCCATGGATAGCAGTAGCGAATGATGAAACTTTTTCTTCTTAATGGGTAATTAAAAGTTTTACATCTGCAATTTTTCGGGAAAGTAATAAATGTGCTGGAAATTGTGTTTTGGGGTAAAAATAATGAAATAGTAATCAAAACTACTAAAAATAGTGAAAATTTTCAGAAATTACAAAAAGATTCAAGGAGAGCTGGCACATCTGCTAGGGAAAATGGGCTCATTTAAGTTATACATGGAACTGTTACTGATTAAATAGCATGTACATATATCTGAAATCAAAACAGATAATCTCATTTGATATTCATTTTTAAATTTTACATTATTTTGAAGAAGTCTAGACATATCTGATGTAATAAATTGTCATATGTTTTTAGTTCCTTACATTTGAAGTTTTTCTAGGCATTTCCTCCTTTCATAACTATTATGTTTATTCCAAGTACTCTAAAGCCCTTTAAAAAAAAAAAAAAAAAAAAAAAATGCTATTAACTTTCTGAATTACTGCAACTAATGTGAACTTCTACTTTCTACTGCACATTTTCATTCTCTGTTAGCATACTAAAAACGTATCAAATGTATGCAAAGAGAAAAACAGACTAAAATTTATAATAGCAATTAAAAAATATGGAAAGATACGAGGCGTATTCGGAAACTAAGTACCGTTTTGAAAAGAAAATAGTAAAACAATTTTTTCGAGTCCAATTTTATTTTTACATGAAAATACATGTCTTAAACTATTTTTCAACATAGTTTCGCCACTGATCAAACACTTGTCAAGCGGTTAACCAGGTTTTGTATACCATAGTCAAAGAAACTTCCCGCCAGTTCGATAACCACGACTCAACAGCATTTTTCGTGTCATCGTCAGATCCAAAGCGCTGCCACCAAGTTCGCGCTTCATGGCAGGAAAAGTGATAGTCGGACGGCGCCAAGTCCGGGCGTACGGGGGTGATCGAACTGCTCCAATGAAACTGTCGAATTAACAATTGAGTGATACCAGCAGTATGGGGCCGAGCATTGTCATGGAGCAACACAATTCCTTTAACCGAGCATTCCTCTTGTTGTTTTGAATGGCAATAGTTTTGTTTAAGTTCACAATATCGTGCCGCATTAATGGTTTCACCTCTGGGAAGAAATTTAGTAAGCCAATATGCCTTTCCTATCCCAGAAGAAAGTGCACATGATTTTTTGTGATGACATTGTCACTTTGAACTTTTGGTTTTTCGGAGAATAAGTGTGTCTCCACTCCATCGATTGTTGTTTCGATTCTGGTGTGAAAATGACACACCCAAGTTTCATCACCTGTCACAATTTGGTTTAAAAGTTTCTCCCTCATCACTGTACCGCGTGAGAAATGTCAGGGCACTACCAAGTCGCTTGTTTGTGAAACATCAGTGAGCATTTTGGAACTCATGGGTCAGCGGGAGAACTAATTGTCTTAAACATTTTGAATGTGCACAGCAAACTGAAAACACAACATAGAGCAACCAAAATGGCGACAACTGAAAGTCAGTGAACAAGAAAGACTAGTGCGCATGCGCGGGACGCCTACCTCAGTGCTGCGACGGCGCTAGAATGAAACGGTACTTAGTTTCCGAATACGCTACGTATTACTCTAATGAAAGATTATAAATGAATGCAAATAAGTTTTATTTTCTAAGAGTTTACTTATTTTAAAAATAATTTTTTAAATTAACTTATACATAAGATAAATTTATTACATTCATGAATGTATGATAATAAATAATGGGATATTCATATGACAACTTCTTTAGAAAGGATAAACAAATATTTTTCTTTTAAAAGGTTTACATACATTTCATATTGCAATTACCCAACAAACTGCTATAAATTAACAATAAAAAGAACTAAATAATTACCTTCTAATATATCTTGCTTCATTTTAGTCATCTCTTTTCTTATTTCTAGAATGATCTCTTGTTTGATTTTTTCTATATCAGAAACATCAAGTACTATTTGATTTCTCCTGTCATTATCAATATCAGACCTGAAATAAAAAAAAAGTAGTATTTCTTGAACAAAAAGTACTTATTTAAAAAAATGATAAATATTCAAATCAAGTGACTGATTACTGTGACTATTTAAAAAAAATCTGATGTGTACATCGCATGACTTCCTTGTACGGAATATTAAATGATACACATTTTTTCTTGCATTTTGTTCAAACTTATTGGATTTAATTGTATTTACTTCGCCGACAGCGCATAAACCACAATAGAATAAGTGCATAATTAAAATTCACTCTATTTGTTTACCATAGCCACACTCTGGCACTAGGTTCACTTAACAGTATTATATTTCGTTCATATTATAACTCAGAATGCACAAAATTTGTATCATTTAAAGAATTATCTAATCGTTGCCACATGTTCTATTCAAGTACTATAATAAAGCTAGAAACATGTATATAAAAGAAATTAAGCAAACAAAACAAAAAAGAAACAGTTTTTCACAGACGATTGAGTATTTCTCATTCAATTAATTCAGTTCTCACTTCGCGACAAGGCAAAAATACATAAAAACTCAAAATATCTCTACTAAAAATTACTAATTATTAAAAATTAATCTATTAAAAATTAAGTAAATCTTAAACACTTATTTCCTCGAAAAAATTCCAGAAAGGATTAAGCATGATTTAAATTGCAATAATAAATGAAGGCATTTATCTTTGTTGTTGCGAAGCTATGTTTCTCTAGATTGGCAACAAATTCACTACTCAGCTGTTTCAAATGTAAGCAAGCAATGGCCGCCATCAAAATAGGTTTAGCGGCACTTAAACAACTTTTAAATTGTTGATAATTCTAAAAATATTTAATAAAGATTAATTTAATCAGATTTAATAAAGGCATAAAACCCTTAACCGGAAGATAAAAAAAAAACATAATTCAATCATTTTTAAAGAAAAAAATGTACTATTTACAAACATACAAGAGTAAAGGAACTGAGATCACTGAGCCGGGTAACAGAGTGGATATATTTATAAATATATTTATATACGTTTTGCGCGGCCGATTGAAACTAAAATACGAGGTGCACATCTACATGTTATAGTAGTCCTATATACAAAATTTCACCGTTCTGAGGCTACTCGTTTTTGAGTTATGCGAGATACGTACGTATGCACGTACGTACATACGTTCATACAGACGCCACGAAAAATTCTCTTCAGAATTCATTTTAAAGCAGTTTTTTTAGTTTTTTTGGTGAAAAAGAGTCTTTTATTCTGTCCTTACGTACAGATATCACACAAAAACATCGTTAAATTGCATTCGAAAGCGGTCAAAGTGGGTATTTTCATTGAAATATGCTGCCTGAAGCTTTTCGTGATTACAATACTTCCTTTTTACTTCGTAAAAGGAAGTAAAAAACAGTGATCAAGTAACAATTTTAAAAAAAAAAAGTATGACCATCCATCCCCAGAACAGAACTCAGCTTGCCAGTAAAATGAACAATCACGTATGCCAGTATCACAGAACAGCTTATATGTCATCCCCCAAGAACTGGTTTTCTATACCCGTCATTACACAAATGCTGTCAATTTCACAATGCATCATAAAAGATAATTGTGACAGAATGGGGCTTCAAAAGACAAATAACTGAAATAAAATAGTTCATTGACTGCTAATGTACTTCTGCTATATATATATATATATCAAAAGTGATGCAAATAATCAGCAAATGGAAAGCACTCATCCACAGCTCATTGCTGTTAAAAGCAAGCATAGACTGTCATGTCAGTGTTGCCAGAAAATGTTCAACTAAAGTAGCAAAAGAAGACTAAAAAAGTTGCAAAACATTGCAAATGATGTCAGAGATCACGTGATTTTTGCGATATCATAGCTATGCAGGCTCACATGACCTCTGACGTTATCATAAATTTACCGTCTATTGGTTCTTTAAGTTACAGATTGTATTCAATTTTTAGTCTTTTTAATTACATATCTTAGCTTTAATGAAAATTTTAAAACTATATTGCTCATTTTCAATTGTTGTTCAACAGCAGAAACTGTTTCTCAAATTTGTTGTTTGGCAGAAGAAACTCCTTCTTCAATTTGCTGTTCAGCAGCAAAAACTTTTTCTTCAGTTTCTCCAATTTTGTTTTCAACCCTATTTATTCTGCATTCCATAGCTTCCAATTTGTTTCCTATTATGACAGTAATTTCTCTTTTCATTTCCGCTTGACCTGATTTAATCTTTTCTTGAATTGACTTGATGGCCTCTTCCACCTTCCTTGACCTGCTTTCATCTCTGCTTTAATGGACTTGACTGCCCCTTGGATCTTTCTTGGCTCACATCCATCTCTTCTTTAACAGATTTTTGTCCTGTTTTCATTTGTTCTTTGAAGGTAGCAAAGGCTGCCACCAGCTGTCTTAATTGTTCTTGTCACTGGTATTCAGTCCCACTTCTGATACCAAAAATTGTTGTGTGCTTATGGGTTCATAATGGATTGAATGCCCATAGAACAGATGACGGTTTGATCAATTTATTTTACCCAAGAAACATTTTACAGCTCTAAAATTTTCTACAAAAGTACTACTAATACTAATAACACTACAAAATACTAACTAATACTAATTACACTACAAAATACTAACTAATAATACTATAAAATACACAACTCTTCTCAGTATAACACAGCACAATCAGTAGTTACACTTTAAACTCCTAAGAACGTTAAACACAATGCCTTGCAAAGCACACCTAAAGCTCATATGGAGATATCTCAGAGCTCCAAAATAAACTATGAACTATTAATTTGCAGGTATCCATTCTTAAGAGATTTCTCACGTTTAGACTGTTAGCTCTTTTGCATTAATTTTTTTTTTTTTTTTTAGTTGGCAGTTAATTTTTTTAATTCATTGTTTTTTTGCTTAATTGTGAACATTTTAATTGAGAAATGCTTTTCAGTAAGTTTTCTGTTTTGTGTGGTTAAGCTAACAATTTAGTCAATGTTAAATAGACTTGCACCAGCCATCTTATTCTTCTGACAGAGCTTTGTCTCTTTCCAGCATTTCACGCTGCATTATACAAAAAAAATATCACAATTTTACTAAAGTTACATACATACAAAATTCATAACAATATCAATGACAAGGAAATATTTTATAGCACACAGTTTATTAAACCTTTCTGTGCAACAGGTCACACAACCATTTCCAATGCTAACTGCACTTCATGAATGACAGCATATAAAATGAGCACAAGGTAATGGAAGTTGAACTGTGAATGATTGGGTAAAAGTTGGCTATACCAATGGATTTATATTTCTAATACAAGTTGTAGATGGATGAATGCATGTATGTCAGTTACAACTGAGGGCTATATCACTTAGATGTATTACTATGTAAATACAGGCCAGTGAAGGTAGAGTGATATTTTCATGGGAAACTTAAAGGCCTCCTTTTCCAAGCAGAATAATCTTTGTCAGTGTTCAAGTACCTGAAAATTACTGAAAATGAATTTCAATCATTCGTGCTGTTTTAGCAGCTATCAACAGAACAATGCACCATGCTATACTGCAGGATTATCAAAAAGTGTTCAAGGAAAACAATAGTGATTTTTATTTAATGTTATGGCCTAAAAACTTGTCAGATATACACCAGTCAAAAACTGTTTTGGTTAAGATAGGTTATTTGAATACGACAAAGTAATGAGGACTATCTGCCTAAGAGATGCCTTCACGGAAGACATTCTGTGGGGAAACTGCCTGGGAATCATGTTACACATGGGAAAAAAAAAAAAATCAACTATGTTACCAGCTTGTTCACCTGGGATCAAATCCAGGTTGAACTTCCAGTGTTCAGCAGACTTAATTACTTGGCCATTAGTTAAGCTATAACTTGATGGCTTGAAATGCATCACCACTGCTCTTAAAAATTAAAGATTCTACATTACACGATCAACAGTATCCAGAAAGCTCTAGTACAAAATGGATTAGACCAATGACATTGCAAAGTAAAATAAGAAGGAAAGCTCACCGCATTGTTGAGAAGCTATAAAATGTTAAATTTGTAGACAATGTGAACTATTAAACATCAAAAGAAGCAAAGTTATACAGAGTGAGCAAAATAAAACCAGACTGCAAAATATTTATTAGATTTATGTAGAACTGACTCTTTCTGATGAACAGGACAACTTCCCACAGCAGACATTACTGGAAATGGCCAGCAATAATGTCGATGCAGTGCTATGCTCAATTTATCAAATTGTGAGAGATGTGTAGCAACTCTTTCTGAGAAATAGCAGCATTAGCATCTTCAACATTCTGCTGTAACTCTTCCAGGGTCTGAGGATTATTTGATAACACCTGATGATTATTTGAACTAGCTCCACAGGTATCATAAGGGGAGAGATCAGGTAATTAAGGAGGCTAGGAGATTGCACTATCTCTGCTGATTGTCCTCTTCTCATCAAATACTTCATACACTCTTGTGGTTCATGTGATCATGGCAGTGTGTGCTGTTGCTCCGTTTTGCTAAAAATTTCCATATAGTCAATTCATTTTCTGACAAACGGATTAAAGTGATTCTGGATATACTGGTCAGCATTAACAGTTTGAAAGAATCATGTTATGATGCAGGATTCAAACATTGCACACCAAATACCAAGTTTGAGATTTACACAACAGTTCTTCAAAATACTGAAGAGGATTTTCTGATGCACAATAGTGTATATTATACGAGTTCACAAACCTTTACAGGCTGACCAAACCTTATCTGAAGAAATGAAACACTGAGGATCCAAAGAGCCCAATTTTGTTTCACTCGGAAACCACTGACACAACTCAGCATGCGCAAATCTGTCTAGAGGCTTTAACTCATGCAAAACTGTAAATTTGTAAAGATACAGTTGCAGGTCTCTTTTGATAATGTTTCAATACAATGATCTTTTAATCCCTACTTGCACAGATAAAAAGCATTGCAATGTTATAGGAATTTGTTCCAGGCTTTCCTTCACTTGTTCAATGTTTTCTGGTGTCTGAACTCT